GCTGAAAAAAAAGGGTAAAAAAAAAAAAAAAAAAAAAAAAAACACATCTTAGTAAAACCAATACCTTCTCAGCTTCACATCGAAGCTAAAAATAAAGTTTACATCTCTGTAAAATATAAAGGTTGCACCTGAAAATGTTTTATAACAGATAAATGGAAATACATATGTAACAAAAACCAAAAATAAAATTTCAAATATCTTATTGTTTTAAGAAAAATTGAGTTGTAAGGATTTAAAGAATCATCCTGTATATTTCCGAATTTTTTGAAGGATAAATAAATAATGTTGTAAACAAAAAATTAACATTACCAAAAGTTTTCACCCCCATAAGTTTTAAGAGATTATTCTAAAAAGAAAATTAGCTGATAAATCTGAATATATATGCAACTAAAAAAAATTAAAAAATTGTTTAATTTTATATTTATTTTGACCATAATTTAGTGGTTTATCATTCTGTTTATTAATTTTTCTTTTGTAATACTTTCAAGGCCAGATTCAATCCATTTTTTCGCGAAGTCGTCATATTTACTTGTAAATGTTTTTAAAACTTTTATAAAATTGTTTAGAGTAATTTGTTGATTTACAATATAACCACTCATTGCAATATGTAACTTTCCTCTATCACTCTAAATAATTAAAATAATTAAAGAATTATAATTAATTTTTTAATTAAATGATTGTTGAATGAAATATATAGATTATTTTTTTAATTAACTCTAAGCTAAATTTTATTAAAATTAAGTCAAATTACCAATTTTAAACTTGGAATTGGCTTGGCTAATGTAGATATCGAACAGACCAGAATTGCGATTATAATATACATGATAAATTTCGATTATCTCAATATATTATAAGTAATATATTGAAAAAAACAAAAAATGAAAATTCAGATAATTTTTTTTATTTCATTTATAAAAATTATTGAATTATTTAAATAAAAATATGCTAAAAAAAATTTTCTTGTAAATTAAACAATTATATATTTATCATTTAACGGGCGATAAGTACATTTATAATTATATTTTGAATATTCAAATTTCGATATGTCATAAAATAATAGTAAATAATTTACATAAAATCCATTAAATTTAAAAAATTTGTTTAAAAATATTATCTATTATATTTCCACTACATTTGTAGTCTCCAATATTGTTAAAACAATAAGCATTATAATAAATTATCTTGAGCTAAAATTGTCTTTTAATATTACTTTTTTAAGTATCAACGGCATATTCATTTGACACTGTTTACTGTTGATCTGATAATAATAATAATTATACACTGTTGGGTAATGAAAGATACATTCATGATATAGGTAAATTTATGATAATTTTAAAACGTATATAAAGAAGATATTATTTATAAATGTTATCAGTAGTACTTTTAGTTACATTTGACGCTATTAACGGTTAACGGCAAATAGGTTATAAACGTTTAAAAAATATCACAAATTTACGTATATCAAAAACATACTTTACCCTACACATGTTACTTATAACTTAATTTTAAAAAAATTAGTGTGTGGGAAATTTAACTTAGAACCCAAAAATTTAGTTGCGTTTATAATGATAGTTTAAGAATGTAAAACCATAAAAGTGTGTTTAAGGAAATTCCCTATTTTAAAATTAATAGTAGTTTTTTTTATTAGAATTTCGGTGTAGAATTTAGAACTTTTATATTTATTGTTTTAGGAAGAAATGGCAAAATTATTTATTTTCAATAAACTTTTGTCAGAATAAAATTACTTTAAAAATGTATAGAATTTATCTTTTTTTATATTAAAGAACTCATTATTTATACTATAGACATATGAGTTTATCGCACAGCGAGTTCTCCTCTGGTGTAGTAACTATAAATATATCAAACTAAATCGTGAAATGAATTTATCACTCTCTGTTATTTATAAACTATATTATTTAGTATGACGAGCAGTAGCGCCGGAACCGGTTCAGAGGGGAGCAGTTAACCCCTTGTTCAAAATATGAGGGAGGCAAAAGTATCATTATGCCCACCCATTAGAATATGACAAAAAAGTTAAGACTAGAATATAAAGTTAATTATTATTATTTGGGTTTCATTTAATTGGTATTTAATAATATAATATTGTAATTTTTACGGAGAAATTATAAAAAATTATTAAATAGATATAAATTTTTATGGCAAACATGTATAAAAGTTGAAAGGCTTTGCACAATACTTTTCAAATGAAATTGTTTATTACTTATAAATAAATTTATTTGTCTACTAGGAATTTTCATCCGAGACCAAAGTATACTTTTCTAAATCTATTTTTACGCATATTTCAAATCTGCAATTAAAATTTCGCATATGAACTAAATAATAACAAAATCTTTCTAATTAATATAACAAATATTTATGTTTGATAATTATGTTACGTATGAATAATCAATAAACATATTTTAATTAAAAATATATGTAACAAGCATGATATATAATATGCAATAAATCAATATAAATAATTATTTAGACACCATGAGTTGCATAGAAATACTAAGTAAGGCTTTTATTTAAACAATTTGTTACAATTAAACATTTTTAACGAAATTTTGATTTTACCTCATAAATTTACTATTAATAGTAATTAAATCAGTTTCTAATCACATATTAATCTAAAAAAAAATATTTCATTCCACATAAAATTTTCTATTTAATGATATAAATTCTAATCTTACAAGTTTAGCTAAAATTGTGTTTAAAAGTTCAACATTTTTAGATTATAAACTTTCATAAAAATCAACTTTCAAGGAAAAAAAATAAGTTAAATATGTCTATTAAATTGAAATTTTGTACGGATTATTTTTAACATATTAAAAATTAATAATAACTTGATAAAAAATTTTTTTTTAAATTAATTTTATATGTGTTTAAAATATTAATAATCTCAAAAAGGGATGATTGGAAAAATCTAATTTATAATTTGAAATCAGCATAAAAATTTAGTTAGGTAAAGTATAAATTAGTCTATAATCATTAAAAAATAGTTTATTCTACTTGTAGCGACCAAAACATACGCAACGNTACTGATATGATTTTACTGTGTAATTCAGTATAAAAACGAATTTTATACTCCAATTAATTTGGATATTTTTAATTAAGAAAAGGTTTTTTTGAAGTTTTTTACAATAGCCTAATTTTGAGAAATTCGTCTGAATTTCAAAAAATTACACGAACATGTAGATAAAAAAAAGTTCAAAAACTCAAAGTGCTTTTCTGATCTTTGAGGAGGTAAAATAATCAAAATAAGTTTAAATTTATATTGAATCTAAGTTCGATTCGTGTTAATTTTATAAAAATTGTTAGAATCATTTCTATGACAAATCCTAGTATAGGTATTTTAACATAAAAAAAAAATTGAACACAAAAATAACAAGTTTTTTAACTACGGCAGCCATTTACAAATAGAGGATAACTCTTCGGGACAAATTTTTATTTATTATTTTATAGTACGTAATATAAGCTTTAATTTAAAATATATTTAAAGGATGCAGTATTTCCGGAACATTATCAAAAGTTAAATTGAAAAAGTTCCTATTTTGATTCCCCCATGCTCCAAGGTTAAGTGTTAGATTTCCAAAAAAAAAAATGAAATGGTTTGCGCAATAGCAAATATACAGGGAACGAGGGAAATTTTTTCAATTTTCAAGATCAATATCTTCAACTAGATACGATTTGTGATATTTTGACGTATCACTGAAAGAAATCGGTTCAGTGAGAGCTGAGATAAAGTGGCAACAGACACAAAAAAAAAACACATCATAAAATTAATACCTTCTCAGTTTCGCATCGCAGCTAAAATTCGTTTCTTATTGATTTCAGATTTTGTGAGTATCCCAATATTATTTTTTAAGAATTTTATTACTAAAATAAAATTTTCACCAAAGATTAAATTTGTTCTTTTTTAGTATTTCGTATATAAATAGATTTATTAATTTTGAATTTAATTTAAGTTATTCTACTAAAATAGTTTGATATTAAATGACCCATAAATTGAACTTAACAGTTTTTAATGTTAATGATGAGGTAATTTTTTTTTTATTTATTGTAATAAGTAAAATAAAATTGTAATTGATCTATTGACTATATTATATTATACTATCAATACTTATTAATAATATAATAAAAATAATATGTATTAATAAAAACAAAATTTATAAATTACTGGATTTTTTTATATGATCACTAAAATCCACCAAAAAATAGCTTAATCCGCTTTTTAGTTTAATAACAATCAAGGAGCTGCGTTTTAGTCATTAAATTTTTACCCCCTCCCCCCCATTTAAAAAATAGTTCCGCTGGACCTGATTGCGAGTTGAATTTTGTAGATACGACATAAAACGCTTTTGTATTGTAAAAGAATTTTATCATAAGAAACATGTACAAACAAGTAATTCAAATGTTGTCAATTTTGATTTATTACACTAGAGTACTTACAATACATTAGTTACTTGTAGACATAACACATATTTATATGCCAAAATAAATTTTATTATTTTAGCGCAAATAATTTTTCATATCTTTATTAAAAAAATTGTTTTTAATGAATTGTTTAAGGAAAACGTTATTCAAAGTTGCTGTAGTATATTTATTCTATTTATATAGTAATTTAATCGTATAAGTTTTAACAATTAAAGTTCAATTAATTCATATATTTTTATATCTTTGTTATTTTATTTATGTTTAATTTATAGTATACTTATAATTATATTATTTTATTACTTCCAAAATGAAATATTTTAAGATATCGGATGTATAAGAGTAACTATTGAATGACTATAAAAAAGAATCACTCTGTATATCGTTACCTCATTTTATCATAAGCCATTGGTAGCTAGAACATTGTTGTGGGAGAGGAAAGCCTCGTTCCCTTTAATAAACTTATTGTATTGGCATTAAAAGTTGTAAAATATTTAATTAAATCGAATTTCGAATATATTTTTTTTTTGTAATGAGAAGGATTTATGTACTTTTTATTAATCGTGTGTATGTACTTCCCATCCACTAATATAACTATACTACTTGATCTAAAATATAAACATAAAAATTTAAATAACAATTGAAATAGTATGAACACGAATTTTTTAATGTCGGTGTCCATTTACATGTAGAAGATTAGGTGTTGTGACAAATTTTTTTCTTTTAACTTATATAATATAAGATTTAATTTAATACATGTTTGAATTTAGAAGTATTTCTCAAACAATTTAGGAGTTGAAAAAGTTATCACTTTATCCAAAAATAACAATTTTCTATGCCAATTTTGGGCAAGATAAGGGTCAAATTTTCATAAAAATATATCAAATGAAAGGAAACTACCTATAATATTCATCTATTTTTCAAAAAGTTATGACACATTTAGGTTCAAGTGTTATTACGAAAAGTGTTATTTTTAAAAATTAAGCTGAAAAAGATTTACTTTTTATACGAATTGTTCAAATTTTGAACCCTTCTGTATCAAATATAAGGAAAATGCATGAAATATTTATAAAAAGAATTTGTAATAATCCATACATTTTTCAAAAAGTTTTAGTAACTTGAAGTCGAAAAAATAAAATATAAAATAACTACTTATAACACAAAAATAGCATTTTATGACAATTTTTTTTTATCTTATAGTACGTTACATACGTTTCAATTTAACATACGTTTAAAGGATGTAGTATTTTGAATATTTTCATAAGTTATGTTGAAAAAAGTTAATTTTTCGTGCAGAAATTGCTTTTTTTAATCCCCCAGGTTATGGGTCAGATTTTCAAAAAGAAGACACCAAAAGATATAAGGTTCAAAGTAGAGCGACTTGAAATGTCTAATTATATCACTTAGACTCTAAGTCTTAGAGTACGAAAAAAATATAGTCTAAGTGTAAAGAAATAAAATAAAATTAATAGGTTAATAAATATTAATGCCTTCGAAAAAGAAACCTGCTGTTATCAGGTCTGTTATCTGTTACTAAGATCGATAATAGAGATTGTTGAGTACATATAGCTAACATTGTACATGGTATTATCATGTTCACAGTTATCTACTTAGGTTGGTGCATGGAGTGATATCAGTGTTGAAGTGGTAATTGTACGAAACTAAAGCGATAGTCGTAAATGATCCCATTTTAGCATGTTAGTGCTGGAGATTATTATTATGTATTAAAAAGATGTTTATGGAAAAATTGATCATAAAATTAATTATTTTTTTAACTAGAAAAACATAAATTGATTTCTCTATGATAAAAGTTACAACAAATATTAAACTATTTTATACAGAATTGACTAAAACTCTAACATGGAAATAATATGATTAAGTAATAAATACCAAAAAAAAAAAAAAATGATCAAGGACAAAATGTTAATTTAATTTACATAATAGTAAATATATCGTGTGTACCGTATGTACATACAAAAAATTATTTATTATCGTTACTAATTTTACTTTTCTTAATTTAGTAATATTAAAATTAAATTAACATGATTAATAAAACTCTATTAATTTATTTTATTATCTATAGAACAATGAATGAATTCTGTGGTATGACTTAAAACACAGACCGTCCGCTACTGACGAGAAATTCCAAAATATCCAGGGGCTGCAGTGATCCTGATTAATAACTACCCACATAGCAATTTCAATATGTTGATATTGTCAAAATATTCTTACAAAATACTGTTTAAAAATTTTTAAAGCAAAAGTTGTGACAATATCTCATAAATATAATAATAAATTAATTTTATTTGAAATATTTCCACAATATGCTTACAAAATAATTTTTTAAATATTAATTTGAGGTAATACCACCCAACCCAACCCAACCAAACCACCATGCTATTTAATAATAAATGACATAATTACTCGAACGTATACCAATTTACTAAAGTATTATATTGTATTTGCAGTATGCCCCAATGTCATTTTGTTATCATGTGACGTATTCGGTATTAATTTTGCAGACCAAATTATATAAATACAAAACAATATTAATTTTTTAAAGTTGATTTTTTCATAAGCCGAGGGTTAAAAAGTTTAAAATTTTTTTTTATAGTATTCGACATCCGGATGCCCCCAACACATCTGCTGCCCGGGGCAAGTGCCCTTAAAACCCTCCGTCAAATCCGGCCCTGGTGTTCTGGTATGCTCTAGTAGTCTAGTTTTTACAAGTAACAGTGTCACCATTAATTTCTATACATATTTAAATGTTTATTAAAATAATATTTGTAATTACCTATTTGATAATTTTTTAATTACTTGTGGGTCAAATACTTTGTCCGTAACACACGCACTAAAAACCAAGTATTAATACGATTAGTGATATTTTTAAATAATAATTTATTTAATAATAGATATACCAACAAATACATTATATAAAATTAATTATTCATTTACTGGTGAATATGCACTAGTAGTTGCATATTTCTTTACTTATACCTATTTGTATTATTTAATCATAACTTATAAATGTATTAAATGTAATCGAAATATTCTCAAAATCAGTAAAAATAATCGATTATTTTTATCAAACGAATAAACGATTTTAATTTCGAGAGATGGTCTCGATTACTAATATTTCGATTATCGAATCATTCGATTATGCCCACCCATCACTAATTATTAATATGTGGATGGATACCATTAAAATTGGTGTTTTAGTAACCGTTCTTGCGATTTAAGAAGAGGGTGACCTAGACAACAGTTTACCAAATAGATAGTTACTGTCGTAGTTACACAATCCCGAACAAGTAAAAACTACTCTAGTATTCTTTGGCCACAACTGTAATCATTTGAGAAACAATTGTATTTTGTACCGACGGAATTATAATGAAACGACCAAGTGTAATTGGTCCTACTCGTTCCACCAATGTACTCGTTACTTTGGACCGATGACACGATTACCGAACAATCACTACTGTATAGGTAACCGTGGTTTTGGAAAACACACGTTATCGGCATAGTCTGTATATTCGTTAATTTTTTATTATCGTTCTGATAAACTAATTATGTTCAAAATTAAGCGACTTGAGATCTCAAATTAATCATTTTTTGCGTGCAGAATTACCAAAATCAGTCAAATTCAAAGGTAAATTAACAATTATATTATTATCATATAACAATAATAATTTAATGTTTCTAGTTTTGAAAATAATATTAAAATTTCAATGCCTCCAAAAAAGAAACCTGTTGCTACCAATTCTAAGTCTACAGCTTCTAAAGGTGCAAAATCAAATGATGAGTCGAATAAATCCAAAGAAGTAAAAGGTGGAAATGCAGTGAAAGTAATTTTTGTAACCTTAGATAATCTAAACGATTATGGAAATAAATATAACTTTAGAACTTAAAGAGTCTAAAACTTATCTATTAAGCTAAAATAATTGTCTCACCATTGTTACATTAGAATTTTTATTTAATCATTTTAAATTTAACACATATCCATTATTGATAATATTTGTGTTCTTTGAATAAGTTGATTGTCTTATTACGTTTGTAAATATACTGAGAGTCTTAGATTTAACTGATAATGAATTCAAATAATGGACCTTACTCAAAATAGTTTAATAAGACCCTGAAATGTTACAACATATTAAACTGAGATTCAACGCATTATCAAATAGGTCACATCTATATAACGGATATTATGGAATATAATCCTGACCTACAAAAATGCTTCTTTTTAATGGTAACATAAAATAAATCAAGCTTTTTTAAAACAGTGAAGTCCTAACTTACAAATATTTTTGTGCCAAAATAAATTTATTGATTAATACAATATTTATGTAATTAAACAAATACATTGTATTCAAGACATACTTTGTTTATATTTTTAGATTAACAAAATTTATTGTAACTTTATTTAATAATATTATACTAAACAATGCAATGTGTTTATGGCTTTAAATGAAAGAAGATAACCGTTTGAATATAGTAAAATGATTCATATTCTTTAAATTTATTTATGACTATTTATAAAATAAAACTAAACTTAATATAGAGTATAATTGAATTAAAAATTGTAATTACTAGTTTTCAGTTATAAAGTCATTATTATGTTACTGGTTATAATTTAAGAAAACATTAAAAAAATAAAACTAACAAAAAAAAAAGTATGGTTTAATTAAAGTTATAATTGGATAAAAAATTCTAAGTGTTATCAGTTAGATCTAACACACTATATATTTAAAAAAAAATCCTGGTATTGTATTAAATATACAATGATATTTAGTAAAATTATTTTTATTTTTCATTGGAATAATTTACAATGTTTAAAAGCAGAAATAATATACTTTTTTATTATTTAGATAAATTTATAAAATTTAATTACAGAGCTTATTGATTAAATTTTATTTTTTTCAATTTCAGGTAAGACATATTCTTTGTGAAAAACAGTCTAAAATATTAGAAGCTCTAGAAAAATTACAAAATGGTGAAAAATTCAATGAAGTAGCTACAAAATACAGTGAAGATAAAGCAAGAAGTGGAGTAAGTACACCTAATAATTTATGTAATGTAATAGGAATGAAATGATGAATTTTTTAAGATATCTCCAAAAATGTTCAAAAAAAAATAATTTAGTTAAATTTGATAGTTTGATACAATATATATTAAGAAATTTTTTTTATAACATCAAAATTTAATGATTTGATATATCATAATAAGTTAATATATAAAAATCACCACAATTTCAAATGACTATTTTCAAATTTAATGTCATCAAAGTTGTATAATAACTTTGATGACATTAAACTTTCACATTTAAAAATTGCAATTATGTGTAACAACTAATACCCATAATTAATCCATTTGCTTAAAATTTACAATTAATAGTACATAACTATTTTATATTGATTAGTTACAAGTGCAATCTTTGAATTTTTTAACATTCAATTGCACTTTTATTTATTTTTAAATAAAAGCTTTTGGTAGATAGTACTAAAAAAATTAAGCTTTTTTCTTTAAAAAATTGTTTTACTATTTTTTTGTCCACCACTACAATATATTAAAATGTTCAAACTCCAAAAATTTGATTTCTTATTAATTTTAAATAGAAAATATGCATTGATATTACTCTAACTAATATTTGTTTTTATATTGCATAAAAAATAATTTGATTATAGGGTGACCTAGGCTGGATGATTCGAGGTTCAATGGTTGGTCCTTTTCAAGAAGCAGCATTTGCTCTTCCAAATTCAACCATTAGTAGTCCTATTTATACTAATCCACCAGTTAAAACTAAATTTGGTTATCATATAATTATGGTTGAAGGAAAAAAATGATCACTTATCTAATTTAGACTCATTTTAAATTTTTTTAAAATATTAAAAGTATTTACTTCAGTTGGTCAGTTATATATGCATTAAATAAGTAATCTATATTTGTGTATTACATGTGATATACTTTTTTAAATAATATATAATTGTTATGTTTTTTCTGTGTTTCTTCTTTACATAATACATTTATAAAATTTATCTATTTATTATTACATTTTATGTCTGCTTATTATTTAAACTCATAAGAAAATATTCTGTTCTTTATCTTATTCATAATGATTTTATATAATTTTTAATTTAATGCAATACTTCTTTCCAGATTTATGATTTTCAAAATTATTGTCACATTGCTTCTTATCATCATTTGAACTAAATATAAAATGTTATTAATCAATTAAGTGTAAAAATAAATTGATTATTTCAACTTAAATTAAGTATATATATTATATATAGTATATAATATAACTGATAATTTATTTGATTAATGTCTATTAAACTTAATTTTAAATGATGGAAGGAATATTATACTGCACTAGTTACAGTTAAGGCAGAGTGATAATCTTTTTGGAAATTCTTTATTTCTCTAAAGCATTAAGACATATTTTTATGAAATTAGAATAGCTAAATACTTGTTGATAAATTTATTTACATTATATTTAGTACTATATATCACCCGTCCCGGAGTATAAATGGTTAACAAACCTCCTCCTTTGGGGAACGCCGTTATGGCCCTTAATAGGTTAATAAAAGCGTATATATATATAAAAAAAAAAATTGTGTACCATATTTTGATAATAACTAAAGTTTGAAATAAGGTCTTCATTTTAAATGTTAAATTTGTGCATTTTACTTTTATTAACATATTCAATATTTTCTACAATAGTATTATTTTCTAATTTAACAAAAGAAATGAAAAATAATTAAAATATTACATATTATTACTGAACACAATATAAAAGCTTAAAAAATGTTTGGCAATTGTCATACTACTATAGTATTAATAACATATTGTTAGTTACCTAATGAGGAACTGGGTATTTAAAAAATTAATCTAAAGATAATACACAAAAATTAAGAACAATAAATAATAGTTATTATTATTCCAAAATTATAATTTACATTTATATTATGAGTTAAAAATATGTAATTTTCTTTATTGATGAACATTTATACACATATTTTTGTTAATTTATGTACGGCCGACTATGATTATAATATCACTTGTTGTGCTCTATGACAATATGTTGTTGTCGGCATGGGTTTGCTTCTGAAAAATATATAAATAATAAAGCTTTAGTATAATAGTTTTTAATCTGGTAAAAATTTTAATCCTATAAATAGTTTCTCCTCCATGCTATTAAGTTAATTTATTAGTTAAAACAGACATGGTAGTATTTTTAATAAACATTACATCTCACGTTAAAGATCATTATTTTACAGTTGGGTCATAATTATTTGATTCTTCTGTATACTCTGTGTCACCATAGTCACCTCCAGTCTCCTCATCAGCTCCGTCATCATAGTCGTCGTGTGGTGTCTCGGTAGTGTGTGTCATCGATCGGTATGATTTTGTTGTTGTTGTAGTCTCCTTGGTTAGTGCACACGTTTTTAGTTGATATATAATAATTATTAGTTCACACAATCTCCCCAGTAAATAGGGTTTTCGTTTACCTTTTGTGGTCTCCAACCACATCCCGGCAATGGCAAACCATCTAAACCAATTGGGCATGGTGCATCTAATCCTGGTACTCCCTGATCACCTTTGTCGCCCTTATCTCCTTTTCGACCTTTCTTTCCAATCGGCCCCTAAAGTAAAATTTGTTTAATAAGTTTTTTTTTTATTTAAATTATAATTATTTCTTACCGGTTCCCCTTTGTAACCTTTATCACCTTTAGGTCCCTGAAAGTAAACCAGATAAATTCAATTATAAAGTATATACATCACATGCTCATTTGGAGAAAAAAGACAGTTCTAATCAGAATTATTGATGCAAATATTTCCCTAGAAGTATATCTATTGAAATTATAATTATTTAACTATTTAGTCCACATATAATAATGATTAATACTATAACAATATTTGGTTTAAAAAAATTGACATTTTGGTTTTCATGTAAAATGTTGGTTCTAAATCTTAAAAATGTTATCAAAGAACTGTATTTGATCCTGGGGTAACTATGTATTTAATGTTAATAATAGTTAATAATAGATAAACGAAGTTATTGGTTAGTATAACATATAAATCTTTTAATATGTCACGCGGAGAAGAATGAAAAAAAAATTAGAAATAAAGAAGCGTGACAAATATAATAATTTTTTGAAATAGCAGTATATAGTTTTACAAATAGTATAAAAAATTGATAAATTATACTTTATGCACTATAAATATTTGTATAAACATTTATTCACAATCGATTAAAATTTTTAAAGGATTATTTTTTATTTGTGTATTTATCAGTCTTTTTCAGAATATTTTAACATTACACAACATTAACATAATTTGTTTTAAATAAAAAAATATAAACATAGTTTATCACGCTACTTAAAGAGTTAATTTTTTAGCTAAACGTGTTATATAGGTACCTCATTACCAGGAATGCCATCTGTACCCTAAAACAAAACAGAACTAGAAGTATTTCACAAAAACCATGTTAGCCGTTAATAGTTGATAAATTGTCATTATAATGTTATTATTATTATTTTTAATGTGCAACATACATACAGGCAGACCAGGATCTCCACGTTCCCCTTTGGTGCCAGGTTCCCCTTGACCACCCTAGAAATAGTCGATAAAGCGATAGAAATAGAAAAAAGCTACCTTTGTTTATTAAATATGAATTTTATACTTTAGTAACCAAATATATTTACCTTCATTCCATCCAATCCAGGAGGACCCTAAAAATATTAACGAGTGTATTGATATTTAGAATAAAAATTATTTGCATTAAATAGTGTTTTATGAGGCGGTGAAAATTGATGTTAATAATGTAATTTATCATTAATGGTTAGATAAGTACTCACCATTTTATGGGAACATGCAACATTCTATGCCAGTTCTGATAGTTTTACCAAAAAAAAAATTAATTTTATTAGCGAGTATATAATATCAAACAAAGATATTATTTTTAATTTAAAGACAAATTGTAAATTGTATCGAGTATACGTAATCAAAAATGAAATCATTAAAATCGGTTTTACTAATTATTAAGTACATTTTTTATTTGAGCCTGTTTTTTTATAATCATTACTCATATGAATTAAAATAATTAACTATAACATTTCAGAATCAAATTTATTTACTAAATTTTATTATTGAAGTATAATTTATTCAGTAAAAATATTCAAATATCTAATTATTTTTTATAAAATACATTATTCATAAATGAGATATTTCTAAAGTCAATTAAAAAAACTAATAATTTATTAATTTTTAATAATAGCTGCAGTAAATTTCAAAACTAATCACAAAAATTAAGAATACTTGAGTTAATATATTATAATTGTATTGGAATTTAAATTGACTACAAAATTACAGATATTTAAATTTCATGATAAAACGGTTAAGACTACTATAAAAATCATTTTGAAAATGAGGAAGTTTTTCTATCGTACCAATTTGCTGATAAGAATCTTTCTTATTTTGTAATACTGTCAGTTTACATTTCAAACATTGGCATTAATCATGCAATTATTATTGTATGCAAAATTAAAATTTTCATGTATAAATCACAGAAAAAAAATGATTCATTTAGAATATAAACCAAAAATCGTTTTCAATTTAACTACATAAATATTTTTGTAGTTATTAATTTATTCATAACCAAATATGAAATTACGTTTTGCACGTATTGAACAATTTTTTTATTTAGATTAATTCTTCTGATTATTTCTCTATTATTCAAAATGAAACATAATTTTACAATGTGCTATGTTGTGCTATCATTCAATTCAATTCACGGTGATGGAAATGCACAATACGATTTGATTTTTCTTATATTATTAGATTTATTATTATTTGAAAGTTAACATAATACAATAATTTTTAAATTAAATATACATAAGTATATTGTAATTGTATAAATAGCGTTCTTATACATAATATTAAAGAAAAAATTATGTAATGCATTAAATCAATAATGTTTTTTTGTTTATACAATAATAAAACAACATTAAAATTTGTTCTTTTATTTATAGCTTACATGTGTAATAGGTACTTAAACATAATATTGTTTGTTTAACATATTCACTGGACAATGTAAAAAATCCTTAAATACTAATCTTTATGATATTATATAGTAATAATATTATAGGTATATACAAAAAAGTGTTGTCTATAAAAAACAAATAAAATATTATACAGTAGTATCTTGGTAATTATTAGTTACATATAAGTTGTTATTGTTAATATGTAATTGCGTTGAATGTAATTGAGAGATAATGCTGTTTGAATTATTAAAAAAATAAGCAGACGCATATAATATGCATCTTAATTTAAATTTTAACCTGTTTTGTATTTTGATTAATTTTCATTATAATAAAATGATGAATCAAATTTTATTTGCCAACACCTTTTAAAATTATGTAATATTTATTGATTATTGCTAATCGAGAGTGATCATGGATATTTTGGTTTATTTATTAAACGGATAGTACGAGACAAACTTCAGTAAAAACAAATTTTCCTTTTTTAAGAAAAATAGTTTGAAAATCATTTTTAAAAATCTATGAAGTTTTGACTTATGTTCACGTTTGATGAAATGCATGTACTGTTTATACATGCATAAAAAATAATAACAAATTACCATATTACCCTATAATCTATGTTCGAAAAACAAATTATACGAAGAATTGAACTTCAGAAAAATATTATTTCAGCTATCTATTTTCCCTTATGTAAGCCATTTTTGTTGTAAAAATGAATGAAAATACAATTACAAAAACACTGTGTCATAATTATAACAAAAAATATAGAACACCTGAAATTCTTTATTATTTTTTTCGATCATTGAGTTTATTTAATTAAGTATTATGCCAGCATTATAGACAACGTTAATTATTATTAATTATTAAAATTATTAACGTTAAGTACACTAATTTCAATAATATATTATTTTACTATAAATTAATTTATTATATAATGTTTGGCAAACTGTCTTAGCTCAAAATAAAACGTTTGCTAAATGTACAAAAGCAACTTGAGAGAAGAAATTTGAATCCTGAAGTATATTATTTTTGTATAGGTAAAATAATTACAATTCAATAGTACTTGAAATAACGAATATAAAAAATTGATTTGATCTATTTTAAAAATAAATTCGATTTCTCACTGCTACTGTTATTATTTTTTTTTGATTATTTTATTTCAGAATTTTTTTTATAGTAGTTGGTTAACTAATTAGTGACAATTTTTTTTATACTTTTAACGATATTTATTATTTAGTTTTGTCAGGTATTGAAATGCAATCGAACTCGATCATATCTACACATTTTTCTCTTAAATATACACAATAAATTAAATATTTACAAATTATAGGCAAAAAATATTTGGCAACAACGACGTCTAAAATTTTAAAAGTATTAAAAAAAATACAATAAAACAAAAATATACTTTTATACAGCGTATAATATGATACATGTTCTCGCTATAAGTTTCTAATATTAGTTTTTTTTATGTAACAGGTAAAGTTGTTAGTATTATTACAGTTTAACCTATTATAGCGACTAATCACTGAAAATATATTTAAAAAAAAATTATAATTGTTAAAATAAAATTATTTGAACATTAATGATAAAAAAAGACAAACAATTATTACGTTAGTAGGAAAATAACCATGTATAAGTAATATTTTAATAGAAGCTTCATTAAAAAAAAAAAAAATTGGTATTACAAATAGGTTAGTGTTCGCACCAAAGAAGTAATACTGCCTTACACCTGTTGAAAAAGCATTTGTTTAGTTAAGATGAAAAAAATTACACAAGTTATGTTTTATGTATAAAATACAAATATGTTTCATATATTAAAACTAAAACGGTATATTGCTTATTTTTTTTCATTTAAACGTGTACGGATTCCTTACCATAGGGCCGGGTTTGCCCACAGTCGGTTCAGATCTTGGTCCCATCGGTCCCTAAAAGCATAAAAATTAGTTTTTAATTTAATAATAAGTGTAATACAGAGCTTATTTTTTTTTTTTTATTGAAATATTTTCAAATTTTACATACCGGTAAACCCATTGGTCCGGGATCTCCTTTGGAACCCTTTTCACCCTGTTACAATAAAACATGATTTTTGTAATAATCTTCTATCTACTCAACGAATTAAAACACTTGTAACTAGTGTTGTAACAAAAGAATATTCTCGAGAAACTTTTCCTGTTAACGGGAATATTCTAGAGAATATTATTTTGCAGATTATTATGGTAGAATATATTCTTGATAAAAAAGTAGAATTAAATAAATTCGTTAAGAATATTTATTTAAGCTTGAAAATTATTTGAAGTAATGAATATTTATTGAAAATTTATTTTAAAAAATGAGCATTTTTTTTTTAGGTTCATAGATGCATAATAGCAAAATAATAAAAAGTTCTCTAAAATACATATGAGTAAAAAAATTATTCTGTGAGTATTTAATATTTTTTGAATTTCTTTGGAAATTAAGAAGCAAATGACTTCTTAATTTCATTTGTTCAAAAAGTACAAATATAAACACTCCCAAAAAAATGCTTTTTAGTTTCAATAAAAAAAATACTATATGATTACCATAAATGGTCTCAGTACTGACGTCAAGTATAAATTTCGTTGAAAGCAACAAATAAATGTGCGCTAATTTTAATGTAAAATGTACCCATGTATAGGGTGTCCCATCGTGATTTACTAATTTTAATATAAGTTTATATAGTCAAATTAGTAAATCACGGTGGGATTTTTTGTATATAATGGCAAAAAAATACTAAATGGCCAGTAGCGCTTATAAAACTTGTTACAGCTCTGATTTGGTAACTTCTAAATGTAACTCTAAAGTGTTTATAAACTCAAAAACATAAAATGGGATAATTGGTTAACTTTTAATCTATATCTCTAACTTTATTTGATCAAATTATCTGAAACTAAAACGATGAATCTGAAAGTAATATTGAAATAAATAATACTACTGATCATTATCATTTAAAATGTTTATAATTATAATGTGACAAACTATTCTCTAACGATCTGATATTTTTAGTTAAATATACCTACTCATTTCTGAAAAACTTTTTTTATTTCTTTTATTCTATATGAAAAAATTTACATTCCCTAGTCATTGTTTTCAGTAGACAGAATCGTAAATTCATACTACAGAATTTCTAAGATTAATTTTCCATTTTGAATTAGTGTTTAAAAAAAATTTGCTAATAAATTTTAATAATAAATTAATTGTTTTTTGAAATATAAATATATAATAAAGACAATTCATAAAATGTATATAAATAATTCTTAAAAACTTACAATATCTCCTTTGTCACCGTCTCTGCCTCGTTCGCCTTTAATACCTGGTGGGCCTATAGAAACAAACAAAATTATATACTATCAATTGAAAAAAAAACAACTTAAAATATAAAACCAACCTTGTAGTCCTGGTGGTCCAGGTGGTCCCGGAGGTCCTATCAGCTATAATTAAATGAAAAAATTATTTTACTTAAATTCAAACGTAATTATGAACAGCATAGTTATTTTTGTTTACTTACCGGTTCGCCTGCAGGTTCAAATGCTCCATCGCCTTGGAACTATAAAAATAAATGGTATTATTGTAAAAAGCTGTATAAATTTGTTTTGCCGATATTTACAACCAATTAGTTAAATTGATTTATTAAACTTTCAGTAGTTGCTACTTTTAATGGAAGTTTTCATAAAAACAACTAATAAATCTCAGTTTATTTTTATTTTCTGATAAGATTACTTTTAATCAAAATTTAGTAGAATTTTTTAAAGTTTTGACTTCATGAAATAGTTTCTCTATTTCTAGCTAATTATTTATGAAGAATATATAATCATGTTTAAGAAAATAAATACATCTACTTTAAATAATAATGCACTAAATTTTGTCATGAGCCTCGACTAACAAAATTTTAGCGAAGAAAAAAATATGTATCGTGTGTTATTGTAGTAGCATTAATAAAAAATTGTATTGTTTGGAGTCCTAGGTTAATAATAATAAGATAGCGGCTCTTGGCAGCAACGTGAAACGGAATGTGTCTGACCGAGTCAGCCAACCGAATAATGCTTTTGGTACTTGCACCACAGACAGAGTGGTGTAAGTGTCATAAACTTGAGTATCGTATAAAGTCGAGTACCATAAATATCATTTGTCATAAAGACTGTGTGCATTTTACAAAAGGTCAAGTGTGTCACGCTATTAGCCGCATACAATCGTGCGAATCGAGATACTTTCTTTGTTCGTTGAATTAAATACTCTGCTCGAGGATTTCTCCATGATACAATAAAAATAAACAATAATAAACTGGTCTGACCAAAAAAAAATGTATTCGAGGCCCTAAGTCAACTTTTTTATTTATAACATTTAAAACGATTTCATTAGGTTACACAATATCCATTATAGTAATTCTTAGTTTACACCGACTACACACGTTAATATTTTACGCTGTTTTGAACACGTCCCTTGTCAATTTGTATTACTGCACGAAAGACATTAAACGTCTTCTCCTTGTTCGATGAAAATTTAAATACCAATCTACATCTTTATTTATTGTTTTTATAATTATTTAGTGCTGATCGATGGGTTTTGGCTATTCGACAACTACCATCGTAATTTCGGCGAAAAATAAAAACATCTATTCGCAAAACTTTATACGCCTTTAGACTCATATGTTTTCATGTCACGGTTATACTAGTAAGGCTTTAATGCACACTGTAGAAAACGTTTGCCAAAATCGCCATCACCGTTCGAAGGAACGTCAAACGATCTACGCGTTAAGGGTAGAACAACGTCACGTTCTCTGAAAGTTATGAGTAAAGTTTTGTCGGGGTAAAAAGAAAACAACCAAAACACATATATAAAAAGGCATATTGGCAAAAGCCTAATGGCTGAAAACAAACACCGGCGATTTAGGAGCAATAAAAAGAAGAAAATATAACAATAGTATGCGAGCTTTATCCTTTTTTTTAAACTTTTTCTCTTTCCAGTATAATAATATACTCACTTGACGTCTCCTGATCTTCTTGTTGTTATATTTCTGAAAAAAAATATATATATATATGATGTGGATATTGTAGAGATAACTATGTAATAGGTAAGAAAGCTGAAAGACCGGTCGGCAAACATGATTCATTATTAAGTTAAGTAGTCAAATTTGTGCTCTATAGTGAATGCAAACGATTTTTCTTCTTGCTTTTATACATTTTTCCCCTTAGTGTTCTATAATTGCCTGACTTTGATTAAAAACAACCAATTAATCATTTGTCACCACTGTGGTCGCTTGCAGTAGAAACACATATGCCCCACATGATTTATACGTGAAAAAAATAAAGCGCCCAAGAAACTTAAGAATTCTTCTTATTAAGGTTCTTTATTTCCGTTATTAGTCATGTGTGATCAAAAATTATTGAAAGAAGTGTTATAGACGATCAGATGATACGTTATGGATGTAATGTGTTTGTGGTGATATAAAAAATGTAATTTTCATTTTATGAACTTACCGATTCTCCTTTGTCACCTTTGTCACCCTTCTGGCCAGGATAACCCTATAAAAACATTAATATGTTTTAAAATAAATTACATTATTGTTGTAGAAAACTGTATAAACAAAAAGAAAAAATATGAATAGCAATTACATATTTTAAAATGTTAACGAGAGAATAGCAATTTTGTTTAAGAAAAGTTTTCTAAAGTTCAAAACTTTTAGTATGAATGTTGTAAATGATATTAATTTTGAACAAGGATTATCGTCAACGAGTGAAGTAGTTTTGTTTTATATTTTCGGAAATGTTTTAAAAATTATATTTAAGGCCAACTTACTAATTTAGCATTCTTCTATAAAAGATACGATCAAAGTTACGAACATTACTGTAGAAAGTGAATATTAAAACATTTTTAATTTTTATAAATATGGATTCTGGACACTTAATTTTGTTTAAAACTATTACTCATATGTAGAAATTGATTGATAATGCAATCATTTCAATACAAATGTAAAAAATAATTTCTACTTACTGGAGGTCCTGGCAAGCCTGGAGGTCCCATCAAACCGGGTGGGCCAATATCTCCGTAATCTCCCTTTTCACCTTTAGGGCCAGCAGTACCCTGAAAAAGATAATAAAACTCATGTAATGAAAAAAAGAGCAAATTGCAAAAGACAGTGACGATATTGGCATAAAAATAATTCCTCATGATAAACGATAATGAATAAATTAAAGGATTTTGACTAGTGGGTTTAAAAATAAATAATGTTCAAAGAATAAAAGTGTGTATATTATTATAAAAGCTTAAAATTATCACATATGATAAGAGTTTTCTTTAGAATCTAAAAGGTATATTTATACGGGTTAAATTTACCAAGGTAAATACTTTAAAATTTCTCTATTGCTTGTTTATACATCTCAAAAAATTATGTTTATTCGCCAAATGTAAACATTAGAATCACTTGAAATAATGAACAAATTCTGAGTTTGAATGAAGTTAATAAAGTATAAACAAAATACATTGCAGTATCAATAAAATCATTCATTATTAACAGATCTTGGATCAATTGCTTAAGGTGAAATTTTGATTAGTTTACTTACTGGCAATCCAGGAGGTCCTTGTGGTCCTGGTAAGCCTGGTTCTGATATACCGTCCGTCCCATTGCGACCTGGTAATCCTGGAGAATAGTGGCAATAAAAAAAAAACATATTTCACATAGATTTCACGATAAATCTTTTAACGACAATAGGTACAACGTAGAACAATACAGTTCATTTTCTTTTGCTATTTATCTACAGTTTGACTTAATACTCTACATTAAACATATCTAAGACCATGCATGTATAAATTTACTAACAAACTATTATTACTAACAGGCTGTATTACTAATATTATTACAACTATCATTACTACTACTGGATGCCTATTTGTAGCATACACGCATGCATTTCAAAAGTTGCATTCGCCATCTCACTGTAAACTCATTAAACGGATATCATATCATTTATACGCGTACTCTTGCATTTACATGATGCTCTCTGTACTTACACCAAAGACCGGATTATATTCTCAGTCGTGTATGGATGTATAATACAACTTTATTATGTTCCATGCTAATACCGAACTTGCATTGAATCCAGATTTACGTATGTTCAAAAATATATCAAATGAAAATACTGATTATACGTATAAATTTTACGCTTAAGTTTTTAGTTAAACTCGTAAAATAACGTAAAGAGTCAATAACATTTTAATTTAAAGTGAAAATATTCATCAAAAGAGTTTTAAAACCATATTTACAGTTGTAGTAATGATGTTTAAGTTACGAATGTATTATATTATGATTTGAAAGGATTCAATGTAAGTTTGGCTTTTATGAACAGAGTCAATAGTTGTAAAATCATAATTTTCATTTATGATATTATATTCCTTTACCCGTTTTCCTCTCTTTCCTCGTCCTTTTTCACCCGGAGGTCCTGGTGGACCTAATGGACCCACTTCGCCTCTTTCGCCGCGCAAACCAGTCGGACCTTAAATGCACAGGCAAAACGTAATAATGTAATATACTGAAATTTAATTAGCTGCAGTAATCTAATGTATAATTTACATGCAGTAACTCAAAAAGAAGGTATGGTTTTTTTTTATTTGTGGTAATATGATATTGGTTAAAAGCTAACTGCAGTAAGTAGCACTTCAGTAAGTTTTCAGGTGGGCTAAAAAGAAGTTATTTCCTACAATTTTTTATATTTGATGTTTTTTGTATAAAAATGGTTTTATGTAAAAAAATTAATACCTTCTTAACTTCGTATCGAAGCTAAAAAAATTGTATTAATTTAATTTGATATAATAGCTTTAAGGGCGTAGTATGACGCACTGTGAACATTTCAGATGCTGTCAAGCTCTAAATTTAAGCCTCATCTGCCACTACAAGTTATCGAATTGGTTAATATTTTATTTCATAGTAAAGGAGATATGTGAGATTCAATTATACTTAATTATTCCACAGTAAACATCAGTCCAATCTTTAAATATTGACTGACGTTACCAACTTAATGATATAAAAACTTTAATTATCAATAAAATATTATTAGATGGATGCCCAATAATATCATCTAAAACTTTATATAATCTAAGATTTGTCTAAAACAGTGTCACTTACTGTAATTAATATCATAACCGATAATATTAACATTTTACTGCATAAAAAGATATCAATATTTATTGTTTTTATTGTTTAAAATAGCAATTAACTAATGGCTTTTAAAAAAAATTTCAATCCAATAGGGACAATTAAAATTAAAAACAAACTGATATTTATAAAAAAAAATATGTGATCAAATATTATGGTCAGGTTGGTATAGTACCAATATAAAACGTTTTAAATCAAATTTAAATAATGAAATTATAAGGTTCGAAATTTGGTTCAGACTCTACAAGCGTTTCTACTAAATAATTCAATAATATCGTTATTAACATAGTATAATATTAACTGTAAGTGTTATGTTTAGTTACCAGGTGGTCCAGGAGGACCTGGTGGTCCCTCGATTATCCCAGTGGGGAATTGGTCACCTTTCAACGTGGTTGTCAATCCTCGGTCACCCTTGTCTCCTCTAATGCCTTTCTCGCCAACAGGACCCGGTAGGCCGGGCGTTCCCTAAAAAAAAAAATAACAAGTATTGTTAGTTAGTATATATAATATTATACTAGAGAGTTAATTGAACACTTTTACTTAATAGTAAAGTAAAATGAATACAACATGAAAGTTTTGCTCTCATATAAATATATATTTAAAAATTTGATGACAATTGATGATTTCTAAGTCCCCCTAAAAATTATTTATATAATGTTACATAAATAATTTTCAAAATGTTTGCATGAGTTAATGTTATTTTTGTGAGACTTAGCCTTCAAAGTCCACTCTTAAAATGCCCAGTCTAATAACAATATCAAGTTCCACCTATGCAAAGTTGTAGTAACGAAAAAAAAACATTAACATAAGACGTACTTATGTTATTCGATTTATACCCTAAAAACGTTCTAAATTTTAATACTAAATCTGAAAGTTGTATCTTGATGTTTCTTAAAAGATTTTTCGAAAAGTTTATAATTGAATAACTTAAGTAAACTAAGTTTACTCTATATTGTTGAAAAATAGTTCAATCCCAGTGCAATATGTTGAAATTTCGAGAGTACAAGATGTAAAATGAAAGATTTCTTTAACGTTGAGTTGTGACAAAATGCGAGATATTTTCAATCTCGTCATCACCATACTTTTATACACGAAATAATGAATATCTAAACCTCTGTGAATTTCATATATTTTGAACTTCAATAAGATTAATTAAAATGTTTGCTATATACTCTACTTTGATAATTTAATTGAATATTTTTATCTTTCAATAATATATTTCATTATTACTTGAGGTTATTACACAAAATATGTTTATAATTTTTCAATATTATAAAAATAATGTTATATTTACTTGTATTCCTTGTTCACCTCGTTCACCTTTTGATCCAACCTGTGTTCATAAAAAATAAAAATAAAAAATGACATTTTTGTATGTTTTTAAAACTAAATCGAATCATCCATGTAAATATAAATTGCAATAATAAAATTTAACGAGCTAATCTAATGCCAAATGATACTAAAACTATGAATTTTATTCGCAAAACGATATTACGATTTCAATTTATGTTTATAATTTTACTTGACAATTTCATATGTAGGGAAATTAATTTTATGTATTTTCGTTCATACACATTAAACTTCACCGCAAGATTATCTATACTTATTTAAAAAGAAATTTATGTCGGTAGAGTATCTTTGTTTTTTTTAATATTCACTGGTTCTTGCCTGTACAATAAATTCTAACCGGTACCTATATTAATGTTATTCTATACTCACTAAAACCACATTATAAAACTATATTTTTTCAACACGTTTATTGGAAAACGTCTACTTTGTGTCTTAGCTATAAAGTTTGTTTAATGGTTACCGCTATATTCTATTATTAATTAATTCATTACACGCTATTATGTTGCATTTACAACACCGTTAACTGGCTCATAACCGTTTGAACAAACATTTTATAAACCGAACAAACAAGAGGGGAGTATATGATATTTAACTAACCCTTATAGGATGTATGACAAACTACTATACCACAACTGTGTAAACATTTTTCATAGCAAGGGTTGTGAATATAACATATTCTTGATATTTATTTACTATTATACAGAAAAAAACTTGGTAATTCTGTTTAAAAATAATTAAAATAGGTTTATAATTTTCGAACAATTCTTTTTAGTCCTTAAAAATACCTAAAAAAAATGTGTTTCTATGTCTTAAGTTCTATACAACTACTATTTATTTTTTTGTTATAGATAAAACGTGTCCATACATAACAATACTATAAATTTAATAGAATTATAAAAATTTTATTAGAGCATTTAACAGTATATTCTATAAATGGTGATATATGTATTTAATTTGGCGAATTATTAGTTATAATTATAAAAACGCTACCGATTATTATTTCAAAATTTTATTCGTGTTGCTAAAGGTGTAATATGATAATGGGTACTTACCAATCCTGGAGCACCGGGTGGTCCTTGTTTGCCTTCCACCTGTAATTAACAAAATCCTATTAATCCTTATATTAGTTGAACGGACAATATTATATTTCCAACAAAGTTTTTATTGTTGCACAAAAAATGAAAAAGTATATTTGGATTAAGTAGCTCAAAGAAATTGACAAGTCAATTGACATTTTAATGAATATTTTGTTCAATTAAAGCTTAACGAACATTTTAAAACATATTAATACTTTCGTATTTACAAAGACATGTATTACAAATTGCACATTTTAATGAAATATTTAAAATATTTATAGTAAAAATATTAATTAAGCTTAGATTTACAATATGTTATTGTTATTTTATGATTAAAAAATGCATTTATTTGATGATTTATAATCTAGGTAAACATTTTATTTATTTAAGGTACAAAAGAATTGGCTAAAGTTATTACGAATAAGTAAAAAAATTTTTTTCTTAGATTAAATAACTAATTTTTTGGTCATCTCTAGTTCGTTCAAGATATTTAATATTTTATAAAAGTTATATATCATATTTATGAATAATTTTAGTATTATCTGCAATTAATATTGACATGTACGATTATTTTTTTCTAATTAGTTCGTAATAAAGTCTTTAACGAGCCAAATTATGTATTTACCGTACACTTTAAAAAAATTCCAATTTTCACAAACAAGTTTTTGACACATACAACGTAAGGGAAAATTTAGCTATTGAGTAATGGCCGTGTGGCTTTGTACAATATACGGACAATTAAAATCTATCCCGCCCTATTTTTTGTCTAACTAAACACCTGCATAGTTTGAAGAATCGCTAAACCGCATCGTCCCCAGGATGAATAATAAGCAAATTAAACAAATCAGTGGCATATTTATTTCTGCAGCCCATGATATAGGGTCAACTTTTTTAGTACATATAGTCACACAATTGTAGTACATAACGGAAAAACTTACCCCCATCGCGCCTTCTGGTCCTCGTGCTCCGACTGGTCCTGGTGGTCCTGGTTCTCCCGGCTCTCCCTATCAACATTTCGTTCGTTACAATAGCAATGACAAATAGATTATACTTTTTTCATGCAACTGCTACATTATCATGCTAAATGCGTACAACCAACACCGCCGATTGAACGAAATCACTGAGAAACCTCATTTTCAGAATATTAAACTTTAAGTTGACAAGCGGCAATGGTAAAAAAATGATTTGCTTGATCGACACACCACATTGTTTAATAACGTTCAACATGCCGATCACATCGCGTGTATGCTTTTTGTTGGCAGCGACAAAACGTCGAACTGAACAAATAGTATTTTTATTTCATTTTAATACCGTGGTACTAGAGAGTTACTTTTTGTAAGTTATAACGAAATGAGGTTTCTTTCATCACTACAGAAAAATAAAATGAAAATTCTTTAAGTCGATCAGTAAAAAATACTGTTACACAGCAGAAATAATCATTAAGCATTATAACGTAAAAATGGTTCTTCAAACAAAATAAAAATTTCGAATAATACGTTAAATGTTTATTTTATATTTCCATGATTGTCAAGTTTGTTTTATTGTATAAAATAAATTTATTTATCACTTTTTTTAATTGTACTTTAAATAATATTCATTTATTAAATGTCTTCATAAGAATTAGTGCTAAATTTGAAAACTGTTCAATGTTCAACATTAATTGAACAAAGATTGAATGGAAATAATTATTGAACATGATAAATATATTGACAGATATATCAATTCGAAATAAGGGTGTTATTAGTTTTTAAGAAATAATTTTAGAGTTTGTATACAGTTGGTTGTTTGGTCTTATTTAATAATTTTTCTAAATTTTATGGAAATGAGTTTGTTTTCAAAAGTGAAATTCAATTATTATTGAGCTGATTCTCGTGTCATTTAAAATTTGAATTTGTGACATTGCTTTTGGTGATATTAGCGGATTGGGTTAATTAAAAATAAAATTTACATTTAGAAACAAATATAAATTATCAACAAGCGGCTGAATAATGGCATTTACTCACTTTGACCATGACTATACTTTCTGCCGATACGTTATGTCCTCGCTCTTGTAGGCCCTATAACCAACCAGCCACCAACTACCGTAAATAATAAAAACAAAGCGTTTCATGCAAAATATTACATACTATAAGAAATACGAGGACCCGGTTGGGATAGTGTAAAGGGAAAGAAAAGTTATTAAAGTCGCCGTAAGAATGATGACTATACAAAATAACAGCAATAATCGCAGAAGTCGTATTAAAATAATATATTATATTATAACGGCTACTTTGAAGTCGTCGCACTCAAGTTTGCACTATTATATTTTAACTTGGCATGTATATATTAACCTTGTGTCGGGTTAAATTGAATTTGAAAAGTAAAGAAAAGTAATTTAATAACAAAACTTTAATGCGTTCCATTAGATGGCGTAAGTTATTTTAATAGACACCGTCTGCTCTCTAAACATTTTACAACACCGATTCTCTATGCTATTCCGGTCTTCTGGCGGTTGTTGTTCTGTTTATTTGATTGCGAGTCTTGGTAGTGTGTTAAATAATAGCTTTGCTCGATGATGATAATCATAACAACACATATATGCATTTGGTTCTCTTACGCCGTCAAGTGGATCAGACCAAAATGAATTCAAATACAGTGAATTGTGAATAATGTATTGTGGCGTTGGTAAGATAATAATATGATGTTACGATTCCGGCGGTACAAAGTGAAGTCATGCAAACATTTTGTTAAAAAAACTAAAAACATCTATCGGCGCCGGGACTGCGTATCCTCTACAAATTGTACGGCTATTGCCCGTTGGTCCGAAATACAACACTTTGAATACAATACGGGCAAAACGAATGATAACATTCAGTAATCTTTTTTTTCAATAGATTGATTTTTATTGAAAAATAAAATTTAATACTGCGGCACAAATTTTCTTAAATGTAGTTTAAAAGAGAAATCGCTAAACGCGCGCATATATCCATAAAAGTATACCGACGGTCTATTTTTATTTGAAATAATCTATTAAAAAGAAGAGTAAAAAAAAAAATGTAAGTATGCCAAAAGATAAATGAAGTATTATAATGTCTACTTAAAACACCAGCGAAACTACTTAGCACAAAAGAATAATAATAAAAACACCCTAAGGGTTGAATATGTATTGTAACGATGTTCACCTTAACGGCTATGATTTCTGCGTATCCGAGAGTACCTCCTCTCAGTGTGGTTACAGATCGTTTACTGCTGCTACCCTGTAATGATTATTGGAATTATATGGAGCAATAAAATACATGTGTTTTAATTAACGGGCACCACGCACAAAGTCGAACACATTATACGAAATGGGTTCTTCGCATAAATATTATCATCAGCAATCATACAACACGTGTAATAATAATAATTAAAAAATATGGTCTTCGTATTGATTTTCGTTAAAACCGTTTTAGCGCGACCATAGATTATATAATTTAATGTGATGATTATTATCGGGAACCTTATTTTTTCTATAAGCAGTTATACATAAAAACACGGCTAAAAGTCGTAACAGTCTTTGTCTTGTTTTTCAACGGCTCTTAACTGTTTTTGTAGTCTAATGTTGAAAAGATTTGAGAGAACTTAATCTCCGATGAAAAGAAAAATCAATAAGAAAAGTTTAGAACAAAAGGAAAATCTATATAATAATATTAACCGTGCAAAGTAATTTTTTCTTTTACCTTTACTGCTGAGTATATGTCAAAATTGGGAGCTCCAGAATCGCCTTTCTGTCCCTTTTCACCTGGGTGTCCCTGAAGAAAAAAAAGAACATAGTTTTATTTGCATATTACATTAGCATCTACCTAAAATATCCTACAACACCACTGACACATATTTCTCTGTGTGTTCCCTTTGGTTGTTTTTAACATACTATTATATTTTACTGGCACATTGAAATTTATTACTCATTTCGATAATCCCTATGGGTTAGGTTTGGTAAAATGAGACTATTTTTTAATGATTTAACAATAATGACACGACCAAAAATATTTGTAGCAAGTTTTTATGATCGTGTAACCGTTGTAAAAACCCTTTCTCTCGTTTTCTCACCCCAATACTGTTAAATATATATTATACATACATTACCTCACAACTATAATAATATTCTATACACTGTATTTTGTAAACAAAATATTGCACATTACTCTGTATATTAAAGGCATGGATATCATCGAAGTAAATTATGTGACAGAAAATTATTTCATTTATGTTAATTATGTGTTTTTAGAGGTTTTAGTGAAATGAAAATATTAAATCTCAAACGTTTAGTTTTTCGTCGATGATGAACAATATTCACGTATAACGTTATTTTGTAAAAGTTATTGGAAATTTTCTTTTTCGAAGGAAAAGTAAACACTAGCTTACTATTCTAACACTGATAATTATTGTTATTATAAATGCTACGTTGTAAAGTATCCTATGACAAAACGAGTTTTTTAGAGACCTAAAAAGAAATTTATCGCCCAAAACCTACACGTATTCACCGAATAGTAGATAATTAATTTCTATATTGTACATAATATAGGTAACATACTCCCATATGTATAACCGATATGCCCACGGTTGTTCATAGTTAAGACATCTTTAGTATTTTTATAGATTTTACTCAATAAATTATTGTAAACTGTCTTTAAATAAGGACAGTAAATTTCGAAACGTTTTAATTATACATGACACCAGTATATTATTTATAATTTCAGTGTATACTGAACATTAATTAAGAGGTCATATATTATCCTGTACACAGGTCTTAATCCATGATATGTTTATTTATAAATAGGTCCTTTTCCGTTTAAATACAAAAAAAAGTTGATTTTTGTTCATTATAATTATATACTATTATTCGTTAGCTAAGAACTATCTCGCTAACCTATTATACAAGGCACCAAAGTGGACAGATAGAATTCCAGACTTTCACGAGTAATTCTGAAATAAAAAACGATTAATTTGAAAGTGTTTTAAAAAAAAATGATTGTAACTACTTTTTTACTAAATAACAGTGGTTATGCCCCGTAGTAATATTTTTAATTAATAGGGTTTGTTCAACTATATTTAAAAATATCATCAAAACAATTATTTAAACAAAATTTACTTATTAGTCAAGTTCGCGGTTAATATTTTTGGGATATATTCAAACACGTTAATCGCTTTCCACACTCATATGCATATTAACCGACTGAAAAGAATTAACGTAAGAAAAAAAATGATCATTTTAGTTTAAGATTGTGCAATAAAATGTGTAGCTGATGGTTTAGTACATAGATAAGACACGGAAGGGAGGAAAAGAATGAAGAAAAACAATAACAATAATGTTTTAATGTCAAAAACGTAGAGACTCGATTTAATATTGGCTGAATTCCAGCTCAATTCGTCCAAAAAGCCCATTATAATGATGATATTTAAGACGCTTTGACAGCTGAGAAATGTGCCCTGTGGATTAGCTTGTGTAAATAATATCCAGTAACGTATTAACAATGACTTAATGGCTATTATTATAATCTGCATCAGTGATTGCACACCACATCACGATTGAAAGACTCAATACAATTTGATCCTAATAAATTGAAATTGGTAAGTCTAAAGAATTTTATTTATCCACGTCCACATCTATTATTCAATTAATTATATGTGTGCATTAAATAACATCGACAGCGTTTATATAAAATAAATCATAAAATAATAAATTTTTTTAATAAAATAAAACAAAATTATTTTTACTATAAATTTTCTATAGAATCAAATTTTCCGAACTAATTATACGACTTTTATATACTTACGTTCGACTCAATTATACTTGTACATAAAAACGTATTAATTAGAATTATTTTATAGTATTTGTGTTTTATGCTTTTAGAGTATTTTTTTTTTTAATTAATGTTCAATCGTGTATAGACCAAAACGAAAGTGAAAAGTTTAAACGCGCTGATTTTTCTTTTTGGAACTCAAAACTCATTAACTATTGGCACCTATTTATATTAAATGAACTTTCTGGGTTTTATATGTTATCGAGTACTTAAGCAATACAAGTGCAATTCCGTTAAGAAACGTCGTTTATTAGGAGTACAGTTTCAACACTTTAAAAAATGCATTTTTGAAATCAGATAATGTGTATACATTTGTCAATGTGAACACACTTCATAATTTGCAGTTAATGACATAAATTAAAATATAAATGAATGCATATGTCACACACGACACCATTAGATCGTCTCGTGGTCACATCAAGAGAACACAACCTTGTAATGATTCAAAAAGTACTACGGACTATTAAAAGTAAAATTTACAACAATATATATTTCTTAACGGCCGAATTAACAGCAATAACGTGTTAAACGTTTCTGAGCAGCAGATGTGATGAAGTCGTTTTATATGATAAGCCCGTCAATTAGGCTTTCTATATGTTGACGACAAGCTAATGATGGAACAGATACTGTTTTACCGTGACTTTTAAATATTGTGTTAACGCTTATGCATTTCAAAGTGAAACAAACAAGACACTTCCGTGGGCGTTTAGGCGCATATTAACGTAAAACGTTTATGGTCAAATACTAAACGTACACGATGCCAATTCTAAACCACTGTAAGATAAAACTCATTTTAAAATGATTCTCTCAATGTCTCTGATGATTTATTAATATCAGAAATCAAAATTTTGATATTAATAAATCATAAAACTAGAAATAATTAAAAAATATTAATGCTTTCTATTCTGAACTATAAGTTCTTATGACAATTAAATAAATACAATTGTCATATTCGTGGATTATAAAAGTCAGTAACATGTAATCAAATTACTAAATGCTATTCGAATTGCTGTCCCGTACATTGGTAGTAGATTCAAAGTATTTACTACGAATAAAATGTAGTGGAATGATATATTTCCTTTAGTTAGCATTCAGAAACCAAAAAAAAAAAAATAGCGTGTAAGTATACGGATCGGTGGACGATTACAGATTCTTTGTCTCTAACAATGGGTTATTTCCGCTCAACAAAGTTACTGTTTGTATGGAAGTGTGTGCTGTGTTTACACATAGTAGTCAACCGAGCTAAATATAATGGTGAAAAAAGTTTATTTTTGTTTCATCCCTCATAGCAGCCGTCATCAATTTTCTTTCATCTTACAGTATACCTTATAGTCGTTAATTTTCAGCCTTTCAGTTGATTTCATTATTAATTCCACTTAAAAATTTGTGATGATAATTGTGTTACCACAAATGAGTAAGTACAAAATGAGTTTTACAAAACTATAATATGATTCTGAATACTAAAATAATTTCAATTGATTAAATTGTATTGGTTTTTAATTAAAAAATACAATTAATTTTCTCATTTTCACAACACTCTGCTCAGTTTTATATGATTTCCAAGAAAATCCTGTATATTGAAGTCTTATTCTGTATGCTAACAACAACCAAATATTAAAAATATGGTGTTGCAAAATATAAATATTTTACTAAAATGTTTGAGCTATTTAATATTAATGAAACTTACGACATCTCCTTTAGGTCCGTCTAAACCAATAGGACCCTGTAAACACACACAAAATAACGGTTAATAATGAACAGTATTAATTTATTTAATAAAAAATAACAGAACATACAATAATTTATGTTTAAAAAAATAGATGTTACATCATTAAGATAATATTTGCGAGTAAAATAAATTTATAATACAGTGTGTTGTTATGTGATGAAGATTCATAGCATGCGGTTAGTGATGTGATAAAAACCAATCGTGCATAGGTTAATTATTAATGAGGGAGGGTGTTGGCTAAAATTAAAACTGTCAAGTTTTTAATGACTTCGATGGCTTATCTAGATTTTCAGTAGATTTGTAATAAATTATTTAAATAATTCAGAGGTCTTAGTCGATAATAAATTGAAACTTCTGTATAATTTAACATAGAATGAAGATAGAAACAGACGAATATAAAAAATTGCCTAGGGGTAAATAGGAGATTATTTTATATAACTACGAGTTGTCACGAGGCAAGCCATTATGCTGTCGTCCCCCGGCCGCGCTCAAAGAATAATGTTCAATATCAATATTGGTTTTGTTTTGATTTACTCTGTAATGGAATCAAAGTATAAACAGAAAAGAAAAATATATTATCGAATCCTTCATTGGTTGGAAGATGACTTTTTGTTTTTTACGCTCCGTTGGCTCTTTTCAATCGAAATCATACGTCTATAGTTTTTACCCTATACTTTCGAATCAAAAGTTCAAACATAAAATAACTTTTTTAAATGGTAAAACATTATCAAAATGTTTATAATAATAAAATTTCATATGAAACAGTATTCTAAAAAAATTAGTTACTGAAAGAAATAATATTTTTTTTTTTTGTAAAAAGGTTAATGATTAAGAGTCGAATATTTTCTGTATGTATTCAAGGCAAACTGAAAGATCATTTTGAACTCTATTGTTGTTTACTTTGCCAATTCGAGTAATTTTATTTTTTTTTTCCTATTTTGAGCCATTTGCACGTTCCAACAATATATAATACGAAGCCCGATAAGCCCTCTCGGGGATCTGACGGTAAAAAGCTTTGAATTCAGAATGGTCTCAATGCTTAGTACTGGGAATATTATTGTACAGTAGTGTAAAAAAACTTGTCCAATTACTCAGTCCAATTTCTATACAATTTCATAAAATGTAAAACATAACATGAACGTTAATCAATAAAGTTTCATGTACAATTTTTACAAAAGAAAATGAGAGTTTTTTTAACTAATAATTTTGTCATTATTGCATGCAATAACTTATTTATAGCAACTATTCCAATAGTCGGAAGGAAAAGAAAAAAATCATTAAATTAATTATATTTTTTTTTTCTATTTATATCTTTAATAAAATGTTGATCAATTATGAGAAAATGTTACTGAACATAACTTGGCTTGTGTAATTAGAAATATATAAATTTTGATGAATGGAATATATTTATTGGAATTTAATGAAAACGTGTTACTATAAGACAATAATTCAATAGACGATGGCATAAGCATTTTTTAAGATGTGCATGCTAGGGTGATCTATTTCTGTTGGAGTACACTAATCAGGCCAACCCTCGTATGACTATATCGCTGCGGTGTGTTTCACGTTAGGCAATTTAAATCCAATGACGCATTCCCTTATTTTTAAGCACTGTACATTTGTTATAATTTGTCAAGAGAGTTTGTTTTTTGTTCATCATAAATTATGACAGAACGAAGTATGTGTGTGAACGAAAAACAATCGAAACGTATAGTCACGTGACCAGCCGTGATATAATATATTAATCAAAAACTGAAAATCGAGAAAGATGTCAGTCAATATTTTAAATGAGAAATATTACTTCTGTCCGTTTCCCTGCAAGTTAATTAGAAATATAATAATATGGCATGTTCTTAGGATTATTAATTTTCCCTTGAAGCTATAGTCCCCAGTAGTACATAAATGTATTTGATAAAAACCGGTAAGTCTTCTTTTTAGAACTATTCTACTTGGCTTTCAGTTGCATGTTTAAACTTAATTTCTTAATTTCTACTGTACAATGAAATTACAGAGGCTCTAAGAAATTGAATACGTACATTAAATATGAATCATCATACTAATTAACAATAACTTAGAACTTATCATTATTGTATCACTTATACTAATTTATATTATACCCAAAAATTTTTCTAGTGAGTAGATTTTTGATCGGTGGTCTTAATCTTTCCGTTACATTAAATTCGCTTTTTTTGTTGATATTTACTTGAGAGAACAAAGCTACATAGTTAAAGCGTTTATATATGTTATTTCAATATTATAATTTATCTAAATAAGTTTGATTTAAAGAATTTAAATAAAATATTAAAAAGCACGTTAAACCTGTGAAATCATGTTAGCACTTTGTTAAGTAATATTATAGTAAAGTTTTAGTGTTAAAATAAGATAGGAAAATATAACAACTCCATCATCGATATCATCTTTCCGGCGATGGACTAACCAGAGTATCAATAGTTAAGAAACCTCCTCCTTCGAAGGAGGCCGCTATGGCCCTTAACGGGCATAAAAAAGCGATAAAAAAAAAAAGGAAAAAACAACACACCCAATGTAAAAGTAAGTACATTGACAAAAAAAATTATTTTTATAACTTCTTATCCATCATATTATTAAAACAATTATAGGAGATGGTTCTTACCATCAAGCCTCTGACCCCTTTCATGCCTCTCAATCCCTAAAAAATAAAATTATAGAACTAAATTTTCAGTTAATAACACAACATTTTTATTTCTTTAACAATATACATTTTTAGATAAGTCCAATTCTCATTTTCATCACGATAGTACTTTATTCTATTATAATACATTCTTTATAATATGTATAATTTATTTGTGAAGAATGAATAAATTTAATTAAATATGTAATAAACTTGAAGAAATTCAATTAAAATTAATTTTCACAGTACAGTCTCGCAATATATCAACGTACGTACGTTAAAATAAACACATGTATGCATATGGTAATGGTGCGATGTACAAAATAAGTTTAAAACATTTTATGGTCGAACAACTTATGTTGGTAACGCATGGCACGTAGAAACACAGATATACGAGAGTGGGCGTATAAGAAATAAAAGACATTGCCAATAAATGTTCGGTCAACACAAAATACAACATGAAGTAGAATTAAAAATTAGAGAGAGTCATATGTTTTTCAGGGTCTGTCGCAGTGATGATAGTCAGTTGAAAAAATATAACAGTCGTAAGTGTGTGCCGACATGCAATGCTATGTATTGTCGTCAAACGTGCCAAAATAAATAATCATAACAAATTAAAAATATAATTTCAGAACAAAAATAAGACGAATATTGCATTAAATAAATACCGGGAAACCGTTCTTTCCAGGTGCACCTGCTGGACCCTGTAAAATATTATTAAATACTTTGTTCATATATTTCTCAAAATCAAAATATAATTTTTAAGTGGTATTACTCCACTAAATATAAATTATCAAAGATAATGTATTTCACAACTTGAAATCGTATGTAACATTAGATTTTATTCAATTTTAGAATAGCTTAATATTTGCAATGGAAGATTATAAAAACATTTTAATTATTTATTTATATATTTACATCACATCGTGGGCGATTGTCAGAATACACAATGTAAAACAGATATTTGTAGAAATATTTATGTTTGACCATTCCATATTTATGTCTATGACTACATAGTTAGCCAATGTTAACAAATTAATAAATTTCTCTCTTCTTTATTTTTAAAAATAATATAAGAGCAATAATAAATTTAAATCTAGTATAAAATACATGATGATATGTTTGTAAACAAGCTATAAGTAATTAAATATAGAAAATTATTTTTTCGTAAAGATTCTTATTGATAATAACAGGAAATATCTGTCATAGAAATAAACATAAATACATATAATATACAGGGTGTTCAGTAAGTCAGGAAATGGGTTTCTGTTGTGCTCATTATTATATATAATTTATAACTATGAATTTTAAGAAAAAATTCCAGTTATATTAAGATTACAAGAAGGAAAAAGAGAGAATTATTTTTTCTATGACCAACTGGGACTTCATTGTCTACAGATTATTAAATTATTTTTTATGTTATATAAATCACAAAAAAAATTTAAATAAACAGGAAAACTGTGCGCTCAATTTTTAACGTATAAGACGAGCTACCGACTTTTATACGTAAATTGTTCTAAAAGTCTTAGGGGATCAAGCCCTTCCGATTGTCCCTCTAAAAGTGACCCTGATAATTATATTGTGTGCATAGGTTTTTTTTTAAGACATTTGTTTTGTTAGCTTAATGAACCATTTCTCGGGTTAAAATTTACGAGTAAGCGATTAGATGGCAGCTGAAATGGCATAGGTATTCAATATTATGTACATAGAAAAAAAAAACCAAAGCAGCACACAATCGTTCTTCCCTTTTCCGTATTCTAAGTCATTACATCAATAGTCCTAATTATTCATGACACTCTATTCAACATGATGTATTTGTAAACCGAAAAAAGAACTATCAGCATTTTATTTAGCCGTTTACCAAGTATTACATTAATGAATAACACGTGATCAATAATACAATCAACTTTTTTCTATATAAGGCCAGTTAGAATATTTATTTATTTTTTCATCGATAATGAGCAGCATGACCGATTGTATTGCAAAAAATGTATTTGACAATCAAATTTTTCAAACAATATAAATTTGCAGTCATTAGCATAATAACGTTGTAATGATCCTAATGTTGTTAAAAAACGATTACAAGAAATTTTACTGATTTATATTTTAACTTGTGAGGAAATAAATTGAAACAATGATGTTTATGGGTACATAAATCAATTTTCCATACGATAAAAAATAATATAAAAATATATTTTTGCTATTCTAAAAGTAGATATCTTATTGCTGTTACAAACGATTTCTCTGTCATGACAACAAATCGCATTGATTGCCTAGGATATGATCACAATGGTTACTTACCGGCGGTCCGGGTTCTCCAGGATCACCTTTTTTGCCGCGTTTTCCTCGCTTTCCGGGAGGACCTGAAAAACGATAAAAACAAAATAGATTAGTACTCAGTGATAACAATATAGTACCGCAATTAAGTTCACACAATGGCTGTGGATAGATACAATACAAGAACAAAAAAAATCTGGCGAGCACTTGGAAAAGTTTCGTTAACAATGACGAACGAGAATTATATGGTAATCTGGTAGAAAGAGGCGTAAGTTGAGCGCTAGGGCAAACATGATCAATGATACCCGACACTCACAGTGTACCTCTCTACTCTCTGTCCTACAAGGAGAACCCCGTCAAACGACGTCTTTACTTTCTCAGACTTTTGTTGGAGAGTCCACATGCCAAGATGAAAAAAAAAAGTTCAACCAATTCTTTTTCTCCCCTCGACCGATAGCGGATAACATAATTTGTCACGCCACAAAGTGCCAGAACCCGTCTGTTTAATATATCATATCATGACGAGGACTACAATGTGCAGTGTCCGGCGGAAACCTCCAATTGTTGTCAGTGGACCAAGTAAAATCCGTTTACATTTATTTAATTTATTACCACGTGGATCGTACAACATTATTTCGAGTATATACATAAATTGTCTTCGGAAGTATTTAGCATTAAAGTACAACTGCAAAACCCTTTTATACGTGTCTTGAAAATCATATTAATAGAATTTGGGGGACTTAACGAATCAGTAGCCGGATGGGCAGCGTTTTATTTTGATGTGGAATAAATAGATTTATGGACTATTGTAATCTGACAATGCTTGTAAAATAAACGAATGCGTCCAACAAGTATTATAATTAAATATACTGCAGGCAGGCAACAATAATATTATGCAGTTCAACTCTGACAGATAACCAACTAATGCATCGCCTAATGCTATTGCCGTACAACACATAACGGCCGGGTGGTAGATGTGCGTTAAGTACACCTAGGTAAAGGCTCTGGTTTGGAACACTAGGTATCAGTGGTATACGTCCCAGATGTTTACCTGTCATTAGACCGGTAATTGACCGCAGCGTCGACGAAGTACCAGCTCCACTAAATAAAATTAAACGGATGCCTAATGCATTCCATTTTATATATGGTTTTTGTATCTGCAATGGAAACGTAATCACGAATGTGAGTGTAGTAAATATATGTGTGCAATCAACGCGGACATGTGTTTTACTAAAAGCATTTCCGTCAAAGACTATAACACGTTTATTTAATACATTTTATTTTACTATTTAAGTATTTTAACATTACAAACATCATCATGAAGCGTGTTCGCTCCTTTAGGGGCGGTAACGAGAGGGTAAATAGCCTCCAGAGCTTTTAAATTGGTACTGTTAAACGATCAGATGCGACAGAGGGGTTTTATTATAATATGAACATCTATGCCGGAGAATATCATAATAGTTGCGTATGTATTATACACAAAAGCAATTTAAATTATTCTTGGGGAGAGCTGTGTTTTGTCATTTGGCGTATAATCGAAAGCACATTTTAATGAAGAGCCAAAATGCCTGGAGCGCCTTATTTCCACAATTCTTCACCAAAAATAACGGGTTTTCTCTTTTAATTTCATTCTTAAATCGTGCTAAAGTTTTTATAAACGATGATAACACGCTGCTTGTTATAATAATAAACATTGGAAATTAATTGATATTTATTTCTGAAGAATTGATTTATCTTGGATTTGAACAGATAAATGAAACTTTTTCTGAAAAAAATATTTGGTAGTGTTTAAAATGATGCTTACTTTCAAAGTATTAACGTTAACTTTTTTTGAAAATTACAAAAGCGTTTTGTTATATTATACAGGGATTTGTTTTACACGGCAATGAGAATTACTAAAATAAAAACCATTATAGTCGTAATTTGACCTCGTCACCATGTACACTAATCCGGAGGATTTACTGCGTTGTACCCATTACCCGCTAATCCCAATAGATTATGTGTGATATATGTGTATAAATGGTATATACTTACATAATGTTCAAAGAAGCAGTAGTGTTTTTTATCGTTAGAACAATCTTTAAGAAGACTGGGAGTTCGCGTCCATCATGATCGTTTTACATTAGTCACGGTTCTTTAGACGACTACGAATGCGGCGTCGATAAAACACCAAAGAGATAGAGTTTACTGGGCTTACACGAATACCAATATAAAGTATTAACGCGCAATGGGTAAACAGTATGGGATTACTTGAGCTTTTTCAGGAAGTCAACGTGTCGTTCCGTATGGGCAACAGAGTAGGGTAAGAACATTATAATGATCAATGGGTCTAGAGGTCGTTTTTATTTTATTATGATTAACGCGTCACGACAGCCGATAAAAAAGGTACCAAAAAATGTAGTACAATAATTGAGTCGTCTAATATGTGCGTGTGAATAAGGTAAAGAGAAGAGCAAACATACGTAAACAAGGGTCTCCTCTCTCTCTCGCGGCTATGACCAAAATTTATGGGGCTCTTAGGCGTTTCGTCCGGTGGTTCAACGTGCGTTATTGTTCGGCCGCTATAAAAATGTATAAATAACATACTAGGTAGAAACCGACGTGGGGTAAATAGAGGCGCAACAAAACATAATAGTAGTGGGTGGAAAAAAGATGATGATAAAAAAGAAAAAGTGCATAATTTCCTAGTAATATACATCATTGTTATTTTGAGAGTGGGCGTGTTCAAATCTCCATGTGCGCTCTGTAGTGGTGTGTCTAGTTCATATACAAGAAATCAACAAGACTAACAAATTATAAACAATTAAAAAATAGTCAAATTTTATTTGTAAAATAAACTTTTGACACTTCAAATACATTGTTTTTGAACCAACTTAATACACAATTGTAATCGGTTTATATAAGATAAGTTAGATGATTAAAAAAAAGAGGTTTGTTAATTAAAAAAAATACCTATATTAAAAAAGATTAGTGATAATTTGAAGAAGAAATGACAATTCGCCAATAATAAAAATAATTATGATTAATTAACTTTAGAAATAATTTCTTAAACATTATTTAAAAAATGACCTAATATTTTTATCTTAAGAGTCATGTCGCCGTGAAAAATATAATAATTGGGAGTTTACCCCTTGGTTCCAATTTTTAACCCTCATCATTTACCTTACAAGGTTGATCAACTTGTCCAAATTTAGTATAACTTTTTTTTTTCATTTCGGAACAATATTGATGGGTAAGGTTCTCAAAATTTTAAAAGTCCTGATTTCATTGTCACTCTTATGTAAATACTAATGAATTGTCTATTTATAATATAAAAATGTTCAAGAAAATATTTCTATTACAATAATAATGAATCGAAATACAATCTTCATTTAAACATGAATAAGATAAACTTTAATGTCTTGCAATCTTATAAACTAAGGTAAACCCACGTTACAAAAAGTATATCAATTAATATTACTTTTAAAAATACCTACTTTAGTTAAAAAATAATAATTAAAAAGCTTCAAATTATATAGAAAAAATATGCTTATTGTAATAAATTTGATAATAATTTGACGATATTAAATGTTATCACTCAATAATATTACTTTTGGGAATTTATAAATATAGTCGAAATTTGAAACTAAATATTTGGGGAATTAACTAAATTATTTTTCCATCTTAAATATATTTCTATATAAATTAAAAAGCAATTTTCGAAATTTATGGGGAGTTGTAATAGAGTAAGAGGAACTATACCTCTTCTAGACGCTCAGATTGCACCTGCTTATATAAATACTTATTGTATTATTATGTAAATTTATTCGCCATACTATTCAAACTAATTGACTGATATCCAATCATTATTTCATCAAAAAAAAACTGTAGTTAACAATTTTCATTAATAACTACACAAATTTATATACGTGGTATTGATATCGAATGTGGTTGTATAGATATAACTAATATCTATATAAGTTACATATAAGAATTTTCTTGATTTAAACTATTTCCTTGAGCAATCATTAATCATGAACATCAGATAAGTAATAAAAAAAAAACTTCTATGACCGTCTAAACAACGTGTATTGAGCTAATACTCTTATTTTCGTGGAAAGTAAACTGTTGAATACAAACGGTGTATATCATTGCATAAATTCCAGTCTGACTGCTTATTCTTAATCATTCATCGATATTCTGACGTGGGAAAAAGTAATTTCTGAATATATATATATATATATTATACAGTGTCATTTCGAATTTCATCATCAATCTTAAAGGTATTTGAGAAAGAAAAAATTCACTAAAAACACGATCACACTCCTCAAACCATAACAACTATTTGAGCCTATCTGTTTGAAATACCCCAATCAATTGCTCGACAGACGATCATAGATTGACAGGGTGTCGTTTACACGTTTTAAATATTATTGCCATGAAAATAAAAAAATTCCTTTTACTCACAGCAAATTGAAAAAAAAATCAGACAGTATGATTTAAAAAAATAAAGCAACAGAGCGTTTTACTTTTTTTACTGCTGTATGTTTTATAAAACCCAATTTAGCGCAGTTTTTATTTTCACTCCCCTAAAAAATACAAGTTTACTCAGTATATCTAGACTCGGCTGAATTATTTGCCTTTGAGCTAACATGGTGTCATTAAAACGGTAAACTCCAATCATGACGTGTACACAGTGAAAACCGTTAAATTCATCTTAAGGGTCTTTACTTAATGAGTGTACAAACTGCAGGAGGTCTACTTTAACTTTGCCAAGCACAGCGCAGCTTCATTATAGGGAATTTCAAAACCTAACCATAATATGTATACTTGTTATTACACCTAAGAAACAAATTTGCGTCCGACCAATACTATACGACCAATCGTGTTTTCTATAGTTTTAATTAACACATTACAGCCGAATCTCGAGAAGAGTCTACCCGTCTGAAGAGATGCATCACAAAGAATACACACTCTATCTACGTGTTTATAATATAAACCAGACGTTCATTAGTGCGATTTTCCGCCTTCCTTTCTTCCTTTTCTTCCGCTGCCAACCAATACACACCGCGTATTTTTGTTACGATTCAGACTTTTGCAATGGTCA